TATCTATCTATCTATCTATCTATCTATCTATCTATCTATCTATCTATCTATCTATCTATCTATCTATCTAAACATTGTTCAATCCTGTTGAGCAGCGGGCTCGGCGTTTTTTGCCGTGTACCGAAACGTAGCGTATTTCTTTGTTTCCTGAGCGCTAGAGTGGAACTAATGATTTCAACACAAAAGAAAATGCTACGATACGGTCGAAGTGGAAGACAGGTTTAACACCTCTTCTCTCTTCCGAAAATGACGTCAGGTCAGTTTGCTGGATGGAAAATAGTGCTTTATTAGGATTGGTGTACAGTTATCCCGGTCGAAACAGGTTTTAATGTCTGGTACGACTCATAAACTGAGATTCCATGATATTACAAAAAGAATGAATTTAAGGAATAATTCGTATGCATATGATTACGAATAACATTAGACATAGAATATACTTCAAAGACAGATTTTTTGAATAAAATTGTTATTTTCTTTATATTTTGACAATATTTTTTTAAAAATTCGTCAGGCCCGCAACTAGACCCGCGGCCCGCTAGACACGCAATCGTGTTAGCATTTTTCTGCCCGCAGTCCGCATATTTCTGCCCGCAGCCCGCATTTTTCGGCCCGCAGCCCACAATTTTTGGCCCGCAACCCGCATTTTTCGGCCCGCAGCCCGCATTTTTCGGCCCGCAGCCCGCAATTTTTGGCCCACAGCCCGCAGTTTCGGCCCGCAGCCCGCAACCCGCAGAATAGTTAAACTCCAATTCCCTTAGGAGCAATTTTGCTTCTTTTATAGTGTTAGGCTATAGCTGAGCGATCTAAAGTCACAAATAATATTAAAGTCACAAATAAACAAATTTAGTTATTTTACTCCTTTTGAGAATCCAAACGTAGTTTTTCCATATCGGGCATATTCTGAAACTTTATATTATTCGAGAGGTATCATTTTCCCGGAGAAGAATATAATAGCTACACGAGGACTTTCTCCAACAAAACTTGTAGTGATTTTCAGGTTGGAAACGCTTAGCTTCATACAGCAACTGCTGTATTTTGGGCGTTAAATGCTCAAAGAAACCAATGAGATATAATAATGCTCGAGTCAGGTTTCGAACCAGGACTCGAGCCAGGACTCGAGTCAGGACTCGAGCCAGAACTCGAGTCAGGACTCTATAACAAACGTACTTGCAGGGAGGTGAGTCCGGGATTGGACGCACCGAGGGTGGCTGGAAGTTTCCCGAACTTACCGAGCGAAGCGAGGTGAGTTCGGGAAACTTCCAGCCACCCGAGGTGCGTCCAATCCCGGACTCCCCGAACCTGCAAGTACGTTTGGTTTTTATCCCATACACCGAGCCATACACACATTTGTAGCTCTTCGCGATATATTCGTCGATGTTTTGTGAACATTTTCCCTGCCAAAAAAATCACTGGGCAAGAAAATACTTCTTTATCTACGTCTACATTACCTTTACTGCATTTTTTCTTTGGTTTTTCTTCAGTCTCAGTATGTTAGTCACCGAAAAAAGTTCTTTAATGTTTAGGTTTATCGGCTAAATCTTGTCGGCCGCCATATTTGTTTAATATTGTTATTGCAACGTAAGCAGTTTAGCGGGTGAGTTCGGGCGAAAAGCAGGTGAGTTCGGCAAAAAGCAGGTGAGCTCGACGACAAGCTCACCTGCTCTAAACCAATCAGAAAGCCGCTTTTAACACACGTATGGGATAAGAGCCAGGACTCGAGTCAGGACTCGAGTCAAGGCTCGATAAAAAATACGAGGAATTGCCTTTACCCAATAATGTTTTTATTTCATAAGACGTTACGCACGCTAGCTAAATGTTCTCCTTCTAGCAAATTAAATACACCCTTTCAATAATACGCCCTTTCAATATAGTTACGCCAGTCACCTTGCGTAACTGATTTACCAATGAGGAACGAGGTTCCAAGACCGAAAAGTATGTGTGACGTAATTATCGAACGGGTGTATTTGGTAATACAGCTGGCAAGCATGGCCTGCTCTTCTAAAGCGAACTCTCCGCCTTAGAAAACCCGGCCACGCTGGCTATAATACAGTTTGGTGATATTGGCATCTATTACAGGAAAACAGGGCAGGGAGAATTATCCTACTCTTTGACGAATGTTAAGCGGCAATGAGCGGCAAAACAAGTATCTGTTTTGTAATGATCGAGAAACCGCTGGTAATGGGCAATGTCAACTGTTTTAGTTCGATAAAATACTGTCCGGATATTTCCATTCTTTGGATATCGATATTTGTGCGATATATCAAACACAAACAACAACAATGGTATTGACTATTGTTTCATTCACCGTCTTCCGACGCTAATAACCGCTACAGTTAGCCAAAGTCAGATGAGATTGACAGCTCTGTATTACAACTATATACCAAATATAAACTATCGTTCTTTAGTTCTTTTATCGAAAAAGGTGGGAAAAGGCGGGAAATTGATTTGGTAAACAAATTTTCTCACTTCGCATTCGCGAAACATTCCTTAGGATATCGATCAACAATTCCTCAGATTCAGTTAAATTTTCACAAAACATTTCGCATTGTTGGTGAACGCGAATAATCTAAATTTAAGGAAAGTTCCTTAAAAGTGAGAACGTTGTTGGTAAATTTTCATGCATCAAAATCACCTGACGTCATTTTTGGCTCGAATCCTGAATCGAGTCCAGGCTCGAGTCCTGGCTCGAATTCTCTAACCGACTCCAAATCAACCCCTTTGATACCCCTATAATATGTGGATTTTGGTTTACGAAACACAAACAGTGCTCAATACCATATAGATAGAACGTAATATAGTTTTTCGTGTTACATCAATCTCATCTGACTTTAGCTAACTGTGGTTTTTTGAGGTAAAACGAAAAACTAATATATATATATATATATATATATATATATATATATATATATATATATATATATATATATATATATATATATATATATATGCCTTTTGTCTATTAGAACTAACTCAGATTTACATATATGTTGTATTTTCTTGACATAACACATTCCAGGGCATGTGAACTATCGGTCAGATTATGCAAAATCAGTTTCTCGCTCGTTTTCCGGGTATCGAGCGAGAATAAGTTTTAATGTGAGAATAAAGCCCGTTCTCCACTAGGCGAATTTATTCGCGCGAACAGATAAAAAGTAGGAAGCGATCCTACTTTTTCGCCGCGAATTTTTTCGCCGACCAATCACGTTGCCGGATTTCGGTTTTCGCTTCGCGTCGCGCGAACAAATTCGCGTAGTGGAGAACGGGCTTAAGTCACAGTACGGTGAAGCCTTCCTTTAAAAAACTCGCTGCATGATCAACCCTCGAAATATTTTAATAAAACTTTGACATTGACTTGATCTTTCACAAGAACAATGGCATGTAAGCGTTTAATTAGGTGCCATGTGGCTTTCATTAGCAAATAAAAAATATACAACATCACATTAATATAATTATTTTTCTCATGTTAATGCATGCAGTGGTAACATCCATGTATATATGAAGATCTCAATTGTCCTTGTTCGAAGAAAGCTTAGATATACTTTATATTCGCCATATTTTTGTTTACTATAAGTTTATTAGATATAAACATACATTTGGAATGTTCTAGAATGTAAAGTAACAAACAAAATACACGCATCCCTTACATGTATCACAAAGTTTTCCTCGGCGAGTCGAATAAAAAATTTTAAGGCACCTTTCAATGTCATTTTCATAGGATTTGGAAGGAGAAAAACGTCTGCATGAAGTTTGAGTTTTACAAACACAAGAAATATCTTTACTTTTGTCCATAAACGAAACAAAACAGCCATAAATAGAAACGAAATAATACACAATGCAAGAAATAAAAAAGTCTACAAAACGAAAACAAATTTGTATTTACACGCCTTACTGCTGACCAATTCAACAAAAAATACGGGTTCAAGTTTTCTTTTGATTGGCGCTTAAAACACTCGCGACCTACAAGTGGAGACTATCGGTTCACGATCGAACAGTTTGAAACAATCAGACAGCAGAAAAAGTGACCACCAATATTAATTGGAGACAGAGTTAATTTTTTACATGCAGCGTTGTGAAAACACATTAATCTATCAGTAATGTTAGAAAATACAATAGCTCACCTTGTCTTCCAGATCCTTCTTTTTCTTCAAATTTTTTAGCATCAGCAAGACCAAAGTAGGCTTCTGCTTCTTGCCGTTTATCATTTTGTTCCTTTGCAATTTCCAAGGCTTTCTCATACTGTTGAACTGCCACTTGAATCTGATTGTTCAGCTTATAAGTATGCCCCAGCCAAAGATATGCATCAGTTTCTTGCCGTTTATCTCCTCGCTCCTTTGCAATATTTAAGGCTTTCCTATAGTATTCAATTGCGAGTTGTACCTGATCATCTAATCTATAAATATCTCCCAAAGCAAGGTACGCTTCAGTTACCAGCCTTTTATTTTTTCTTCCACTTGAGATTTCCAACGCTGTTCCATAGTAATCAATTGCGAGTTGAATATTCCCATTCACTTTATGAGCATGTCCTAGTCCAAAGTAAGCCTCTGTTTCTTGTCGTTTATCTTTCTGTATCTTTGCAATTTCCAAGGACTTGTCATAGTTATCAATTGCTAGTTGAATTTGATTGTTCAGCTTATAAGTGTTTCCCAACCAAAGGCGGGCCTCGGTTTCGTGATATTTATCCTCTCGTTCTTTCGCAATTTTCAAGGCTTCCTCGTAAGTGTTAATTGCGTTTTGAATCTGATTGCATAAATGAAAAGCCTCTCCCAAACCAAAACGGGCACCAGTTTCCTGCTGTTTATTTCCCTTTTCTTTTGCAATTTTCAGGGCTTTATCATAGTGATAAATTGCAGGTTGAAACTGATTACTTAATTTATAGGCAACTCCTAGCCCAAGGGAAGCTTCGAGAACTTGCAGTTTATCATCACGTTCTTCCGCGATTTCCAAAGCTTTCTGGTAGTGCTCAATTGCTCTTGGAAACCGACTACTTGATTTATATACTTCTCCTAACCCAAGGTAAACCTTACCTTCCTGCTCTTTATCGTTTCGATCCTTGGAAATTTTACAGGCTTTCTCATAGTATGTAATTGCTTTATCATTTTGATTATTATATTTGCAAGCATATCCTAACCCCAGATATGCCTCTGCTTCTTGCCGTTTGTCACCTCTTTCTTTAGCCAGTTCTAAAGCTTTCGTGTAGTATTCCGTTGTCATTTTGCGTCTCGGCACTTGATTCAAAATAGTTACAGAATTTCACTAATTCTTAGTTCCTTCTATGTTTGATTTCTTTTAAGGGTAATTAATTTATTTGTTTAATGCTGTTTAATTTGTTGTCACGCTGTTCAATTCATTTCAGTTTCTTATAAGAATTCGCGGCAAATAGAAATAGAAATAGAAATATGGTCTGTTTGCAGTAATGTTTGCTATTTGCTTCACAAGATAGTTATGAACTAAAACTGAAGTTCAAAATGGAGATACTGCTCTTCATGTCATCGCGAACTATTTAATTTAGCTTGACGGTACTGTGCGTTTCTGTGAAAAGGAAAATGTCATAAAAATAAATAAGTATATACTCTTGATTGTCAGAGAGTAGGCTTATTATTATTGAGACATTACTGATTGAAGTTGCAGTACATAGTCATGTGCTCGTTGTTGGGTGTTTAAAGTTCCAACTTCTTCAGTTATTCCCAGTGACGCGGCAAGCACGATAATTGGGGGGGGGGGCTCATATTCATCCCCGAGCCGACGGCGCGAAGCGCCGTGCGAGGGTACTAATTCCCCCCGGCTATTTACACCCGGGGAAACGAAAGCATTAGCGAAGTCTAAAGTTCATCAAATATCGCGGGCGTGGGTCACTGTGCGTGTTTCGGTGGGTGGTCATCCTCACTGATCTCATAATATAACGGACTGTAATGAATAGCCAACACTGATTGGTCCAATTTAAAATTGGGATTATAACGGCTGCATGACGATTGACGACAGCGAAATTGATTTAATGATTTCTTGCAAATATATTTCATTTGTGCAAGATTTTGTAAATTGCAAAGGATTTTTGATGAAATAAAGGCAAGAGGATTGCTAAAAGAAGGAAGTAAAGGTGCCGACGTTAACGAAGGGAAGTTTGTTTTAAATATTGATGCATTGTTTGCTTTTAATATACTGTAATCTCGGCTGTAATTACTTTAAAAGCCGATCGTTGCGTATATAAAATATGAAACAAGACAGCGTATTATTTCAGTGTTTCTTTATTGATTATAGTTTTTATTATACTAAGCAAAGTTATTTGCATGGGAGAATTTGGAAACATTTTATTTCGAACTCAAAGTTTATCGATAAAGGCAGTTTAGTTCTATATTAAAAGAACACTTTCAAACGTTTTGCGAAGGGTTTGTGGTTGAATTTTACCTTAAATTGAAGCTTATATTACGTATAATAACATACCTACTGTAATTACTTTAAAAGCCGATCGTTGTGTATAAATATGAAACAAGACAGCGTATTATTTCAGTGTTTCTTTATTGATTACACTTTTTATTATACTAAGCAAAGTTATTTGCATGGGAGGATTTGGAATCATTTTATTTCGAACTCAAAGTTTATCGATAAAGGCAGTTTAGTTCTATAGTAAAAGAACATTTTAAAACGTTTTGCGAAGCGTTTGTGGTTGAATTTTACCTTAAATTCAAGCTTATATTACGTATAATAACATACCTAACATATATATGTTTAGCAAATTGATAATTTTGCAATTAAAAGTGATATTTAGGGCCTGTTCATATGATCCCGCTTACCGGGACGTCTCGCTTACCGAGACGAATATTTCCGTGCGTTCATATGGAATATTTCGTCCCGCTTGCCGAGATGAAATTACATTGTAGTTCTATAATTAGCGTATGCAAAACTTCTACATTTCAGTCAAGCAACACAAATGCTTAGCCATTTTAGTGTTTTTCTTCGTTTATTTACAATAAAAAGTATTTCTTCAGGTGCATATTTAATACTTGTTTACAAAACAAACATAAAACCAAGTAAAAAGTGTTAAATTAAACTGGCAAGACTTGTTTGACTTCATCCCGGTAAGCGGGCTGGCGTGTTCATATGGAAAATTTTTCATCCCGCCTACCTATGATCTCGGCAAATTCAAACGAGATCTCGGCAAGCGGGCCAGCTCGCTAGTTCTCATATGAACACAATGCAAAATTTTATAGGAAAATAGATAGGCGGCGAGATCATCGGTAAGCGAGACGTCCCGGTAAGCGGGATCATATGAACAGGCCCTTATAGGGGATTTTTCATTTGTAAAAACATTCTTAAAAAATTATCGTGTAACCATGACAACTACTTAAAATACTTCACGTTCGGAAAATAAAATGGTTTTGTCAGCAAGGCGAGGGTTTCTGCATGCATGTATTTTCTAGTTAGCAGTGATTTATTGTAGGGTAAACTTAATTCAATGCAGACCATCTCAAGTTCATCAGGGATTAGATCTATTCTATCTGAGAATGATATGTTTTGGCGAACATATAGAACCACACCACCACCAAACCTATTTCGATCTTTACGAATTATATTAAAACCATCAATATGTATCTCATTATTTGAAATCTGATTATCAATTTTGGACTCATTAATTGCAAGAATGTCAAGGGCGTTATTGTTAAGGATTAAGTGAATTTCATCCAGATGTTTCATTAAGCTATTTACATTTAAGTTGGCTATCTTCAAACCTTTACTTTTGGCGATTATGTTAATTTCACTATCTATGCCTAATAAAGAATTGCTTGGCACATCTTGACAATTTACTTGTTCACGTTCATTATCGCATTTAGTAGTTCTGCCAGATGGTTTATTGTGTTCTTTGGAAAATCCTGACGGGAATGTTTTTGTGGGCGCAGTGAACTTAAGGATTGCCCATCCCTAAGGAACTTAATAAAATGTGTAGTTAGTATGACAGTCCCCTTTGCATTTAGATGCAGGCCACTAGAGTTCAAACATGTCTCATCTATTGACATATTACTTATAAATGTCACATCATGCTTAGATGACAAACTCTGAACTTTCTCATTAATTTCTTCTATTTTTGATATTAAATCACTATCCTGTCTCAATGTAAGTCCAGAAATTCCAATTTTAGAATTAGGAATTTCTGTTTAGCTGTTGTAATAAGTTTTTCCATGTTACCAACACATTCGTCTATAGATTCAACAGGGACATTCAACAGGGACATCGTTTAATATTAATTTTGGCAAGCTCATTAGTTATTTCTATAGTTGTTTTACCTGGATATGTGAATTTATAAACTTTCCTTTTTGAGAGTTTTACCGGACTAACATTTTTTATTATTGAATCCCCAATAAGTGCAATACCTTTCTTTGGTACTCGATCACTGTTACCACTTGTACCTTGCGTTCTGTCATCCTTGGGCTCTGTAAATTTACTTGTACTCTCAGACATATTTTGACTAGGTGTTGGTTGTTGTATATCAGAATCAATATTAATTACGGAAGCATCAAAGTCACTGTTATTGTTTAGTTCATTTGCCTCGTCCTCTAAAGACGAGAACTGGTTGTGCAGTCTTGTAACCTCGTTACCTTTTTGATTCTCGCTTCTTGTATGAACCGTACACCATGGATTTCTTGGTTGAGTCGTTTGACTGCGAACGTTGTCCCCTACATCTTTAACAGCATTAGCACAATCCTCATTCATTAACCGAATAACCGTCACGAGACTAGCTTTTTCGCTTTCCGCAGCTACTAATTTAGAACTGGTTTCGGACAATAGACATTCAAGTTTATGTACGTCAGATTTAAGTGCCATATTTGCTTTTTTAATAAGTCGTTTTCTTGGGCAAGTTGATTATCTCTCACTTGGCTATTACGAATTTCATACCCATCTACAAGCTCGTTCAATACTATGGTCGTTTCGGATTTATATATTTCAAATTCGTTAGACAATGCATTCAAGCGATTCATAACATCGTCCAGTGCGTTTCCCTCCACACATATCGAAATTTCTTTAAGGGTTTGCTCAGATCCATTTGTAGCGCCATTATTAGTTGAAAAGTGTGCAGAGTCATTTTGAGAAGCATCAAAATCCAACAGTTCAGCACTCGACATGTTCGTATTTACCATAAAGTTATTAATATTCGGCAGGGAAGGCATATGCGTGGGTGATACATCAGCAAAGTCGTCAACTCCCAAATTGCTTATGTTATTCGGTGAAATAGTGGCTATTCTTTGCAGAATATCGGAGTATTCATATTTCATTGGACCATCCAACAACACACTTCGGTTTTCGTACCAGCGTACAGTGATATCTTTCGTCTTCAGCTGTTTACAACCGCCACGCGGAACCTTCCACTCGCCTTTGATGTTTAATATGTCATTAACAAATTTCTCAAATAAATCAAAATCACCAAGCCATTTAAGTTTTCTATTTGTGAAACTTAGTGGATTTATTTTAGTTATGTCACCTTGAGACATATTGATCGGTTTTAGCTTAGTATATCTTCAAAAATATCGCAGAGCTTACAAGACACGTCCGTTCAGCTTACAAGAATTGAACCTCGTGAAGGTAAACGGCTTGTTCGAAATCATGGTGAAAACAAATTAAATGCCTAACTGGAACGGAAAAAGACAGTGTTATATTAGTAGATCCAGAAACAGAACTTGAATTGAATAATAAACAATCAGCCACTATCATTCATGACTTCTTCGCAGATCTTACTAAGGACTATCCCCAGATACACGAGGAATGGAATGAATTAGAATGTCCGGATGGTCTACCAAGCGTCAGTGTAGATGTCCGAAAACAGCTTATGATAATTAATATTAATAAAGCACTGGGGCCAAATGACCCCCGGTTTTAAAAATCTTGAAGAAATTTGCATATGTATTGGCAGTTCCACTGACGAAGATACTTAACGATTCGTTTAGAGGAAAGTACTTCCCCAAAATATGGAAACAATATAAATTGAAAGGCATTCCCAAAAGTACACCTTGTTCAACTGTAGACAATCTTAGACCGATAGCCGCCCTTACTAGTGTCTTATAAAAAATACAAGAATCCTTTGTTGTCAATTGGATGAATAAAGATATACATTGCAAAATCTCGGCATCACAGTTTGGAGGTATTCAAAATTTGTCAACATCTTTGGCCTTATTGTACTTAATTCACAAGCAGTATGAGGTAATGGACACAGCAAATAGAATAGATTTTTCTTCACTTTAAGAAAGCATTTGACCTTATTGACCATAACATTCTCCTAGAAAATATGAAGCCTATAGATGTTAGAATGGTGCTGATCAAATGGTTTACAACATATTTAAATGAGGTCTCACTACACAGAACTGGGTAATGATACTTCAAGTCACTAGAGGAGGGGTGCCTCAGGGTAGTAAAGTTGGGCCAACTTTTATCATTAAAATAAATAATTTACCTGCAGTTATAAGAGATGAAATGAGTTGAATCACAGCAACCAGCAGTGAAGGTTGTGTGCTATTATCGAAGATGACACAACAGACCTGTCAACCTTCAAAACAGGGAGATTTCACTTTTTAGCCCTTTAAACTTTAAAGATTTTATAACATATGGGGAGAGCAAAATTAAAGTCATATGCAGTGTTCAAAACAGCACAAATTCAAATAATTTTTCCTTAAAAATCATTTTTGCATTTGCTTGAACAACTTTAATTTAATACTATGCATCTAGTTTTCAAGTTCTCATGTTACATCTTGTATTCTAATGATAATCTACTTATAGTGCAAGAGTCAATACAAAGCCAAACACTTGTAGTGTTGTAGTTCACAGAGTAAGTTTCAGCTTGGAAACGAGTGATTTTCACGTGATTACTCTTTCTTGCCAGATATTCTAGTCCGGAAAATATTCATGCAATTACCTCCTAACAATTAAAATACGCAACC